AGCCACTCCTCTGGTGCAGAACCGCGGAGACGCTCCAGCTCATCAGGCGTGAGACGTCTGTAGCCTGTAACGGCCAGCGGCTCCTTCTCTTCCAGTGACCAATTACCGGAGTTACTTACCTTCTTCAGTGCCTTTCGCACTTCCGACATTTTCCGATTGACGCTCTCACGACAAACCTGATCGGAAACGTGGGAGAACTCGTCGCCTGGGTCCACGAACTCGAGATAGTCTTTGAGGTCACGCATTGCCAGTGTTTCGCCCATAGTATTACTCTCGCCACGCGGAGTCCACATGAAAATTCTTGAACACTGCTCGAACCAGTCGAATCTTTTCTCTTCGTCCAAGAGGGCGCTCTTCTTACTGAAACCCCCTCTCTCGACTGCTTCAATCAACTTCTTCATTGCTTCCTTTTGTGCCGCAACCACGAACTGAACCTTCGCCTCTTCTGTTCGATCAGTTAACGACAACAACATAACCTGACAGCCTCTGATTGGTGGTTGCATCCCGTCGGCGTTCATTAGCCACGCCAACAACCCCTGTCTTCCCACATTGGTTGTTGCGTGGCACGACACCGTCTTCATTGTCCGACAATTTATTCAACCGAAATTCCCCCAAAGTTTTAACAAACCAAAACACCTGGCGCTGCCCTGGCAGGAAAGATAGTGTGGCCCGGTCGCTCTCACCTCTAAAGCATCTCAGAATTGATGGAAACTCCAGCGCCATTCGCACGAGCATTGACGCCCACACACAGACTTCAGTACACGCACACTTCAGGACAATTCAGTTACGTCTTCATTAAAATTTTGGCGGCTTGATTAGGGCGCGTAGCTTCAAATAGTGGCCTCGCGTCCAAGATCGGATTTTATCTGACCTCTAGGACCCGGCACCTAACAGTGGCGTTGGATTGGCCCTTTAACGTCTTTTGAGACGCAAAAGACATCGGGCATTTTTGGGACAACAACGCGCGCGTGTTTGCAGCGCATTTTCAGGGATAAGTTTTTATTGAATGGAATAGCGCATTTCCAGGGAAATATATCTTCTGTTATCCTCGCCTCTTTTTCCATCTTCCTTGGTTGGTTGTGTATAGTTCGGCTCAGCGGCACCAGAGCTAGATGGCTGTTGATGGTCATCCATGTCAGTCGGTAAACTCGTCGAAGTTTCCCGACTGCTTCACCCCCTTCATAGATGTGTGAGCGTAGTTGTATTTGCAGGTTGATTTTAGCGATTTTCCGTTTCCTCCAATTTGATCACTGAGAGAGAGAATTTGCGCCTCTCGTCGGCGGTTCTTTTCTGGACCCGTTGGTCACTAACCCGAGAAAGCCTGCCTGTCATCGGGGTTTAGTCGCCCCGGAATCCACGACGAAGAGATTATTAAATAACACTCTTGTTTTGTGTACATAACATGGGGAGTCGAGCTTGCCATCACGATCCAAGGCTTCAGCTTGTTGTTCACTAGCACCCCAAGTCCGTCTTCGATCGTCGTAGTGATCATTTTGGCGTTTTTAGCCTATTGTAAAAGTTCCGTGCTAAAATTCGAGTGGTTGTCGAACGCTTTAAGTTGCATCCATGATCCGTCTAACTCAGACAGCAATTCTCCCACCACGGCAGAATCGTCCACAGTGCTTGCATAAAAAAGTATGCGACGGCGACTACGATTACAAATTCGATTCGGGTGCGTCGCTGCGTAGATTGGTCCGCATCGGGCTGCAAACATCCCGAAAAGCGCTTTGTATAAGTAGTCAAGAGGGCCTTGGTCTATGAATTAGATGCTAGAGGGAAGGTACACTTTATGAGCTGGGCGCGACGCTTCGGCAAGAGTCTGGTACTCTCCACGAGGATCGACGCATACTTCGAGGATCGACGCGACTTATTCGAATGGCCTTACCGTCGAGAAACATGAAATAGAGTGGACACCGTGCTTCATCTAAGCTTCAACATAGCGGATAACTCCTGTCTGCAAATAGAGCTCTGTCTCTGCAGCAAGGCAGGTTCGAATTACTCTAGGCGTTTTTTCAACGTGCGTGCGTGCGTGCGTGCTGGGACGAGCGGCCGCAGTTTTCATGAACGCCTCGCTCAATAGAGAGTTTCTAATTCCTCGTTGGGTCTTGTGCATTTTCTTCCATGTGCAAGGATCAGAATTCTTCCAAGAAAAATGCGGACGACACAATGCGGGAAATCCAATAATGCGACTGTATCAGAATTGTTGTCCCATTTGATGGATGCAGAGGGAATCAGGCCGCCTGTTGACGACTGTGTTGTCAGGTTGCTGACTCTTAGTGATCGAAGTAAAGACGCCGATATCGAGTGTGTGGTACTGTTGCCTAAGAAAGCCGTGGCGAGTTTGACTTCGAAGAAAGTCAGTGAGGAAGCATGCCTGAAAAGATTTCACTGGCTCGAAATCTGTAGTAGGTTTGTGGTGTATGGTTCCCCTGATCCGTTTAATATTCTGGGTGAAACTTTAGTTATCCGAGAACTCAAAGAATATCTGGAGACGGTAGATCCTGAGGACAACTTCCGCAACGTGTCTGATGAGATTTGCCTCGAGAGCGTGGGTCGTACAGTTGCTGAGTTGCAGAAGCTGTGCGAGTTCGATAATGACCCACTGCAAGTGACGGCTTGTAGACGTCTGAATTTTGAGGAGTTAGAGGACCTTCTTGAAAGCGTGCCAGAAGACTGGGTGCCAGCACTGCAAAGGTCAGCTCTCCAATGCGGCATATTTGATGTTGAAAGCGGCTGGAGTTGCCGGTCGACACGGTGCGTACCAAACAAAATGTGTGTAACGGTGTCCACCGGGGCCACCATACTAAGTGGGATAGCTATTTGGGCATTATACAATTGGTTAAAACCACGTAACTCAGAAGCGACCACACATCCCATAAATGGGATCTTCAATATGAGTCGCACAACCAGCGTGAATGAGACCGCCACCACGCTGACCCCTTACGAGACGTTCAGCATCAACCACACAGCCACCAAAAGCGACACTATGAACAGCCTGTTGGGCTTGACTCAAGAACCTTCATCATTGCTTACTCAAGAACCTTCATCATTGCTTACTCAGATGAGCATCAGCACCCCTTCAGATCAAGACAGGCATAGCTCAATAGACACATTCACAAGTCTTACCTCGTCAGTCGCTGCGGACATGACGAAGGAAACGACAAAGGTACTCCGGAATGGGACGGATTCCGGGTTCAGTGTCAATGATCCTGACCCCGTTCAGCACTGGAATTATCCGCCGAGAGGCGCTCTGAATCTGGCCACGCCGGTGGTACACAACGACACCACCACGGAGCTTGTCACAGGCGCCGTCAAGGTCAGAACGAATGCGACCACGCCGGTGGTACACAACGACACCACCACGGGGCTTGTCACAGGCGCCGTCAAGGTCAGAACGAATGCGGCCACGCCGGTGGTGCACAACGACACCACCACGGGGCTTGTCACAGGCGCCATCACGACCACACCGAATGCAACCCCGTCGGGGGTACGCTACGACACCACTACGGAGCTTGCCAGCGGGAAGACACCCCCAGTGTATACGAGCCCATTCAAGACAAGGATGAGCAGAGAGGCGTTGGACAGGATTCAGCTCCCACGGTCGGATTGCAATGGTCTGTTCAACGCAAAAAGTTTTATGAAGGACAATTGGGCTCAGATGGGTGAACCAGGAATGCAATATCCATGTGAAGGCGGTAGCGGAATCCTGTTGTGCGGGGCGCATGAGGAGATACAATACACCTGTCACGTTTTCGGCGCTCCATGGATGTGCGATGCGTTTGGAGTGAGAGATGCGGTGGGTGTTTATTTGAAGGACAATGGGAATTGTGTTGTACGTTGCGACAGTGAAGAGGAAATGGGGCGTAATTTGTGGAAAGGGGCTTATCGTAATTTGTTGTACGTACCTTCAAATGTGTTGAATCGGCGGTCGGATTTCGATGCTATATTACCGAGGTTACACCCTCTAGACAAGAAGTGCTCTGGGTCATGTGAAGGTGATGGATGCGAAAGAGATAATTTCAGCTTTATTCGGGATTGTCGTTGTGCCATATCTAAGGTTAAGTGTTTAATAAAGCCGGAGGAATACAAGTCTGCTCAGCCGATTGAATCGTTTGCTTATCATACAGACACACGAGATGTATTTAGAAACCTTTCTGCATTTAACGCTAAGAAAAAAGGACAGTATGAAGTTCGGGAATGCAAATATGAATGTCTTGGGCGAGAGCTCGGTGTGGAGGAAACAGAAGATACCAGTCGCTTTAAGACAAGGATTACTAGTGGTGAATTAAACAGGCTTGCCCTTACACGATACGAGTGCCGTAAAATCTTCAGGAAAACGAATTCCACATACGAGTCGATAATACCGTCCGGACGTTATCCATGTGAAGGCTATAGCGGGATTATGAAGTGCGGCGAACAAGAGTCGTGCCATCATTTTGGGGGCCCATGGACCTTTGATGCCTTCGCGGTACAGCACGCGATTAGGTACCATCAGAAGAATGATAAGGGCTGCATCGCATCGTGCCCTAACATGATGGATAGGGTACGTGATTTGTGGCAAGAGACCGACGAGAATTTGCCGTACTTCACCGAAGGTAACGTGGGTCCTCAACTTGGTGTATTCGAAGATTTCCTGTCACAGTTATATCCTGTCAATGACGATTGCTCATTCACCTGCACAAACTGCGACAGAAAAGACTTTGCTGACGTCAAGCAATGTTTATGTGCCCTTGCCAATGTCAGCTGCCGTGTCCGACCCAAAGGAGAAAAGTTCTGGCAACGACTTGAATCAGTTGGTTATCATACAAATCCTGTAGATATCTTGAGAAGCCTTACAGTATTCAACACAAAAGAGAAAGAATATGACGTTGATAATTGCCAGTATAAATGCCATTTACGTCCCTTGAAAAGAAGGAGACATCTATAGAGACATCTATAGAACCAAGTTTGTTTTTGAACCAAGTTTGTTTTTGAACCAAGTTTGTTTTTTTAACGTCAAGAGATAGCAGCCTGGCCGGACATGCGGCAAAGAGATAGGATGGTTGTATGGTCCGGTGGAACACTGTTTGGTTGCATTCACCTGGTGTTATGTATGTTGGTGTTATTATGCCGGTTTGATCAGGCTCCAAAAGCATCAGGCGGACTTGTAGGTTTATTGAGTCGGGGAGTGGTGGAGATGTACGGTGTTGGAGATCGTTCTTCGACATCAAGATACTCTGGCTCGTTGGGGGTCATCTGCTCTGCGACAACCTGCTGGGGCAATAGTCCAGTGAGGCCTTGATCGTTTTTTGTGTGGGGTGCTTTTCGTGAGAATCCTGCGGTGATGGGATGATGAAGAACACTCGCTTCGGTCTTTACCGTTTCCCATGACTTGCCATCCGTCACCCCCGGCATACTCCCCTTATCTATCGTGGGAGATTTAATCATCTGAGTGTGCGAAATAGAGGCAGTCCCGGGACTGTTTGCAATAGCTCCCAAAGTCACGCTCGCAAGCGCTCTCTGCTCCGCCTCCTTTTCAGCCCTGACCTTCGCAGCCAGCTCCTTCTCGCTTACGTCTTGGTGATCCGCGCTCGCAGCAAACTGGACCGTCAAATCTTTGCTGCCATTACTCACCAGCTTCTTCGAATCCGATCTCGCAACGTCAGTCGACTTAGCAGATTTGACGCTAGGCTGCTTCCCCAGTGAGCGCCCCCGAGCCGCTTGATCTGCCACACCAGGTTTATCTGCCACACCAGGTTTATCTGCCACACCAGGTTTATCTGCCACAGCAGCTTGGTCTGCCACAGCAGCTTGGTCTGCCACAGCAGCTTGGTCTGCCACAGCAGCTTGGTCTGCCACAGCAGCTTGGTGTGCCACAGCGGCTTGGTCTGCGACAGCGGCTTGGTCTGCCGCCGCGGCTTGGTCTGCCGCCGCGGCTTTTTCTGCCGCCGCGGCTTTTTCTGCCACCGCGGCTTTTTCTGCCGCCGCGGCTTGTTCTGCCGCAGCTTGTTTCTCAGCAGCGTCTGCAGCAGCCTGCTGTTCTGCAAGCAACTTAGCAGTCTCCGCCTCCATCTTGGCCTGCAGAGCGAGCGCAGCCTTATCTGACTTGGTGATATTCTTGATCTCCTTTTTCAGATCAACTATCTCATTTTTGATTCGTGCAATCTCGGCATTATGCTTCTTCTCCTCTATTTTCTCCTGCTTTTTCTCAGCCTTGATCTCCTTGCGGAGGTCCTTATCAGCCCGCTTGTTCGTCTTCCACTGCTGCTTAAGCTCTCTCTTCTTCATTTTATAGAGGGAGTATTGCTCCTTCATCCTGAAGCATGCCTGTACTCGGTCATCGCTGAGGCTATCCCATTGCTTCTGTATCGCTTGCTACAAACATGATATGACGACATAACGACAGGCTTACCACGTCCATGATGTGGGCTACCGAATTAGCTGAGCGCACATTTTAGGCAGCATGTGATTAATGGACGCCCTAAACTTAACGATTAACGTTCAGTCTGGTTTGCCGGATTGGACGTTAGTTGGGCCACGCGGTATTGGCGACAGCAGGGAAAGAGATTAGGCCTTCCCCCCGAACTGCATGTTATCAGATGTGTTGGCAACACGCCACATGCACTTCGGGTCGTGAATGAGCGCTAGTCATGCCGGCACTCATGTCGCTCGAGAATGCTGTGAACCAGGACAGTTCGGCAAGTCCTTACGAAGGTCGCTATTAGCCTAGGTCGTCATTAGCCCGCTTCTCGTCGTCCGTTGCTTTTGGGAGGACCTAAGGCGAGTAAAAAGTTAGCGAGAGCGAAACACTTTAAAAAGATAGTGTGCAAACAAAAACGTCCATGATGTAAGTCACATTGCACCGAACCAACTAAACACCCTTTTAGGCACCGAACCAACTAGACACCCTTTTAGGCATCAGCATGTAATTGACGTGGATAAGTTCGATATACGAGTAACAGGGTTTCAGCCATCAGCTGATGGCACTACGTTCCTGTATGATTGTCAGATTAGGATTGGCGACCACGAATGTAGAATAGGTAAATCTGGCAGTTTGCACACACGTTCGTCCAATGCACTACGGTCAATGCACTACGGTCAATGCACTACGGTCAATGCACTACGGTCAATGCACTACGGCCAACGCACTACGGTCAATGCACTACGGTCAACGCACCACGTTATCTATCTTAGAGAAAAGATTTAGCGAATTCCATGCTCTGCATAACAGCTTGTTTGCGAAAGGATATGGGAATCTGCCTACATTACCCAGCAAGACTTTAACAAGGCCCAATGATCCTGGAACAGCTGAGCAGCGTCAGCAAAGGTTGAACGGCTATTTGCGGACCCTTTGCGTGAGGCCGGATATTCGACAAAGCGAGACTCTGATAAAATTTCTACGACTGGATTTGGATTTACCACCCCAGGTGCCATTGCCTTTACCGCTGGAGATTTGGACTATGACTCATAGCAGTGATTTCGGTGCATTCTCAGTGATGGATTTTGGAGATGGTGGACCTATCTCGCAACACAAAGTTCCCTTGTTCGTTTGCGCCATGTCGGATACGACTGCGCTGTCAAAGTTGGGTAAAGCTTGGAGTGTTATAGATCCGGAGTATGTGGGTGCTCTGGCGATCTATAGGCCGGTATTGAATACGGTGACAGAATCTCCTGTCTCTAATTTTGTTCCCGGAAATTCAGTGGAAGATCCTCTCAAGTTCGTGCCTATGTTTACTAGACAGGCACAGAAACGAATTTGCATCGCCCGCTTTATTCCGACCGCCAATAAAGCACAGTTGCTTCTAGTCGGTGACGGTGAGGGACTACTTTCAGTTTACGAAATTCGCGTAACTTCGGCAACCACGGCCGAACTTTCTGTCCTTAGTACTTGCGAAATGCATATCAAAGCGGCCATATCTCAGGTCGTAGATTTGAATGGCATATTTGGAAGCGTAGGAGCCGATAACGGGCTGAGGATTTTCGAACCTGATTTAACCAATTACCAGCTGAAGATTTGCTCCATGGGAAAAGTATCCAAACCGTTGAAACATCCCAAGGAGACTCTTACCAGTATTTGTTTACTCAGTGGTCAGTTCATTCTTCGGCCACTACGACTGCAATCTACTAATTCACCTGTTGATGCGACTGCATCCGTTGCGAGCGAATACATAAAATTGAGGACTCTTATAGGCACCAACTGCGGTCAGTTGCTTCTTTATGACACTGAGGAGCCACTGCCCAAGTTCGTAGGAGCGATAAACTTGGGCAAGGTGATACGATACATAGAGAACCCTTTCAATGACAAAGAAGAAGAGGACATCGTACTGGGCAACTCCATTACCCATATGCAGATGCTTCGGTTTACTTGCCGGACTGCGGTAGACTCTCCTCAGACTACCCAACGGCTGTCAGGGCCGGGGGACGTGTCAGGGTCGGGGAACGTGTCAGGGCCGGGGGACGTGTCAGGGTCGGGGGACGTGGCAGGGTCCGGCGACTTGTTGTCCGGTCCACAGTATAGCCAGTCAGAAGTAGGACCGATCGTTACGGAGAAGCAGTCATTAGTAGTGAGTATTAGGGGACTGATATTGTTGCTGAACCCTTGCCTGGTTGCAGGACGGGATATTACAGAGGAGATCAACAATTTGTACAGATGCTTAACCAGCTCAGTCGACCCCGCATACAATCCCATTTACAACCATTATGTTTGGAAGGTTCTGGAATGTCCCATGGAGTCGTACCACAAGGCGACGGTGACGGCGATGTGTGCCTGGGGCCACCTATTGTTCTGCTCATATCAGAGAGGCGTCTGTGTGTTTGATTTGTCCGAAGGAGAGTTACTAAGCTGTCTAGATCAGTCCCGTTGGGGCACAATACGCAAGCTGCAAGTGATGCCTATTCCGTCGTCCTCATCGGCGACGGGCGGGAGTTATGCTCTTTTCGCGGCCACTTCTCTTGGAGGTTTGCGGGTATTGAATATTGACTGTCTCAGTCACTCCCGAATCTGGCGAGATGGAACCAAGTCAGAAATGCCGATCACACCCTACGGAGCGGTCTCTTATGAGGAATCCCTTGGCAACCTTTCCGGTGGGGGGGCGCCCATGCCTCTTGGACAGGTCACCGGACCCTCTTTGGGCCCGCCTTCAGGCTCCATTAATCTCTCGCCTCGGGGCAGCTCAGAATGCGCTGCCCTTACTCTCGCCGATGAAATCGACGAAATATACAGTGCCTTCAGACCCATAAAAATATGACCTGTCTCACCCAAATCAGCCCAACATCCCCAAGCCCAACATCCCCAAGCCCAACATCCCCATTAGTACCCCGACATGCCATGTCGACCAGTCCTTCATCAACATCTAAACGAACAGACTTGCCATCCGAGCCATCGCGGCCTTGAATACAGTAGAAGAGGCTATCTGCTGCAGCCGCCGTTTGGATTCCGTCGAGCAGTTCCAGTACCCGAATAGGTTCGCTGAACCAAGTGCTGCGGCCATTAAGGTCAGCGCCATCTGCAAAAGTATTAACTCAGGTGCCCCAGGAGAGTTGACCGACTCATGGCGAAGGT